AGTGGACCTCAAGCTTTAACAAGTTCTGAAAATTCTATGGACTTAGTCAGGAAAAGTGTTTTGAAAACTAGGCAATGCTTTATTTTATAGACTACTGTCATATGAACTGTCTGGACTGGTACAACTAATAAGTTAAACCATTGTTTCTCAACCTGGGCGATTTTAAGATATGGGGCCTACACCTCCAAGATTCCCCCAGCCGGTTTGCTGACTGGGGTATTCTGGGAGTTGAAGTCCACATATCTTAAAGTCACCAAGGTTGAGAAACACTAAGTTAAACTGTTATATTCTCTGAATCCTCAGCATCATAGCATCAAAAATATGGATACCTAGTGACATACTTTATCACTTCTTATTCCAGCCAAACAGTCTTGTCACTGATGCACAAGTGGTATAGCCTGCTTTTGTTTGCATTGTCAATGATCCCAAAATAAATATTATGAAAAGCAGTACATTAATTGCTTGAATAAATAAGGCTGAAAACCTTTACCTACTTTCTTTGAATGGAAATGAGTTACTGTATAAGATAGCATTTGTCACTGTATCATTACGAATTGGCTTGGAAGAGCAGCTTTTACCTCCTGAGTTTTTAAAATATGCTTATTCATCAGAAGACCAAGCTGGAAGTCAAATTATAATTAATAATTCCAATCTAAACCATGAACAAAGAAGAGAATAAGTAAGATACCATTTCTCTAATCCAAATGAGTAAATATAGTTTTCGGGGTTTTGCAGACTGGGAAAAAGGGGCTATGAATCACAATTGGAAACAAAACCTATTGCGAGTCAGTTATGTTTGTTCACAAAGAACATGCTTATCACCAGATTTTACTGTATAAATTGTAGCAAATCTAAACAGATTCAGTCACTGCACACTATATTTTTCAATCGATTCAGTATAGGCACAGCAAGAAAGGTTTATATTGAACACAAGTACAGGTAGTCCTCACTTACCAATTGCCTTGTTAAGCAACTGTTTGAAGTTATGACAGTTTTTAAAAAACAGCTTTGTGACAAATGCTCACGTTTACAACCGTCACTGCATCCCGCAGTCACGTAATTGGTATTTGTGTGCTTCACAACCAGCTTCCAACAAGCAGAATTAATGGAGAACATGGAAGTAAAATTACAAGTGGCAGTCACATGGTGTCTCACTTAACAACTGCAATTATTTGCTTAATGACCAAAGTGGAAGTGAAGTCATAAGTCCATCACAGTGATGTGCTGTTTTGCATAATGACCATGGTGCTTAGTGATGGAGTTGCCAGTCCCAACTGTGGTCAGTAAGTGAGGACTACCTGTACTTGTTGTTGTTCAGTTGTTAAGTCGTGTCCAACTCTTCGTGACCCCATGAACCATATTGCGCCAGGCCTTCCTGTCCTTCACTGCCTCCCTGAGTTTGCTCAGTTTCATGCTCATTGCTTCAGTGATGCTATCTAACCATCTCATCCTCTGCCGTCCTCTTCTCCTTTTGCCTTCAATCTTTCCCAGCATCAGGGTCTTTTCCAAAGACTCCTCTCTTCGCATTAGGTGACCAAAGTATCTGAGCTTGAGCTTCATTATCAGTCCTTCCAATGAGCAATCAGGGTTGATTTCCTTTAAGATTGACTGGTTTGACCTCCTAATTATCAGTCCTTCCAATGAGCAATCAGGGTTGATTTCCTTTAAGATTGACTGGTTTGACCTCCTAATTATCAGTCCTTCCAATGAGCAATCAGGGTTGATTTCCTTTAAGATTGACTGGTTTGACCTCCTAATTATCAGTCCTTCCAATGAGCAATCAGGGTTGATTTCCTTTAAGATTGACTGGTTTGACCTCCTAATTATCAGTCCTTCCAATGAGCAATCAGGGTTGATTTCCTTTAAGATTGACTGGTTTGACCTCCTATCCTCCTTCACCCACATCAAGAGGCCCTTTAGTTCTTCTTCACTTTCTGCCATTAGGGTGGTATCATCTGCATATCTGAGGTTATTGATGATTCTCCCTGCAATCTTAATTCCGGCTTGTACAGTGTTTCCTAAAAGGGCTGCATGTGCATCAAAACGTATTCAGAAGTGGTGCTTCAGAACATGTGGGAATGCATGAATAGCACCTCTTTAAAGCAGCCATATATCTGTACCTTGATATACATGACTATTTTAATGAGTCATATTAATGACATGCTGTTTTAATGAGTTCAAACTTGCACAGGTCTGAAAAAAGATGTGGTTGCTTTAAAGAGGTACTGTGCATGCATTCCCACATATTCTGCAACACCTCTTGTGAATCATTTTCAAAGCATATTAAATCCTAAAGCCTAATAGCCAAAAAACAGCATTTTATTTCATTTTCACGCTGTAGTCTGCTTTCAAATTTCCATTATTAATGTGCAGACATATGTCTGAAGTCTGTATCTTGTCAAAAGATCTTCCTGTGACCTATCAAGATACCTGTGACACATGCCAATGCTAAGATAATTATCTTATAAAACATTTTAGATTGCATTCTGAGATCATTGACTATGGAACATAAACTATTTAACACTAGTGATCCTACCCACTGTCCCCACAGTATCAGTCTGAGCTGAGATGAACTATACTACAATTATGTAAATTAGACACAGCAATGCTAACACTTTTTCAAATTATAGAAGATAGTCAGGTTTCTTAAAAAGTTACCAGTATTTGAAAATTTAAATGTTTAATGCAGAGAAAGGAAATTATAATATTCTCAGGTAATCAGAAATGTGTTATTTCATGTCTTACACAAGATAGAAAATGCAAAGGAAAAATTTTATGATGGCAATAAACCTTACCATCAGCTGGCACAAATCTGATTATTTGCATCCCATATAACACAATTCTAATTATGTCAATTTAGAAATGAGTCTCATTGATTCTCTGGGACTTAATCTCAGGCAAGTGCATGTAGGCTTGTAGTCTTGATAATAATGTAGTTACTACATATTAATGATGAGAAGCAAGTTTAACTTTAAGACTTGAGTATATTTTGGTCTAATTTTTGTTTTTTAAATTTAAATTATCCCTTACAGAATCATTCTGAGAAAAAAAACAAAGAAAGACGTGAATGTTTGGTCTTATGCAACAGTGCCAGAATGGCTGTGTTCATTTTTCAATACAGTGGGATGAATGAATCAGTAATATACAGCAGCGTCTGAATTTAGGGCTTGTTGTTGTTTAAATTAACTCAGCAGAGAGCAATACATACCAGCTTCCTGAGTTCCTGATTTGAAACAATAATCACATTTGGTGGATCCCCAATAGCTGTAGAAGCCCCTCCAATATTTGTGAAGATAACTTCAGCAATCAAGACATGCCTGGGATCAAGATTAAGCACCTCACATAACCTGCAATTCCACAGAGAAAATACCAGATCATATCCTTGCTAGAGGATTTTTTTAAACATTGGCTTATTAAGATTTCTCTTAAAAGCATAAACTTAACAACAAAGCAGAGCCTATTAATAGCACCACACTCATCATAAGAGAAGCACCTACACAATTAAGAGTAATCCGAAGACCAGATAGCAAAACAGATCATCTGCATATACTTGAGTTTAATAAATATTAACATACAGTTTGCTCTTTAATTTTTGCTCCAATAAAATTATACTATAGTTAGGAATATATGAGATTAGTCTTCTATTAGTTTTCCTTAAACAACTCAACCTTCCAATCCAAAAACAAGAGGAATGATAGTTTGAGGTTAGAGAAGAACAAATTAAAATGGCTGGCACAAGGCAGAGAACCTTCAAAAAGAAATAAGGATGTTTATACGTACAACTACAATATCACTGGAGCAAAACAAATGATTTTGCAAAAACATGCCCTGTCACTGTCTATGAAACCAATTCTAATGAGCAAATTTTGCCCATTAAGTGATGTTATAGAATTCTGTTCTGGACTCAGATTTATTTCCAATTTTTCACAATGTCTTATATGCAAAAACAGTGTTGAGTAGCCGTGTCACAGAAACATGAGCAAGAGTGGGTTCTTTTAAAACTGAAGCTGTGGCTCTTTTCTTTTTAAAAAGTGAGTTTGCCACAAAACCTTACAAGAAAATAAGATCATATTTCATGCATCACTGGTAAAAGGCTAAAGCCCTATTGTCAGGGAATCAGGAGAATTTGCTACTAAACCTCATCACCATGGTAATAAGATAAGAGCTTATAAAATCATTTTAAAATTGGACTGAGGAAGCCTGGGGAAGACAGTAACAGTAACTGGATGATTAACAAAACCATGTAAGAGAAGAGATATATAACTTATTTAAAAACTCTATTTTTAAAAAAGTGTATGTGTGATCCCCACTGTAATACAAAAACATGTTATTTATTTATTTATTCAATATGTGCTCCTCATTCTACCTGATAGGGCACTCAAGTGGAGGAAAAATATTTGAATCTAGAAATTAGTGTGTTTACTATTGTTTCCAATTAAATCAACATTTCAGAGCCTACCAGAAAAAGACATTAACCATAAAATGCTAGTTTTATCACTTCCTTAGATTGAAAGATGGAGTTCTGCCAACTCGGGGGGGGGGGAGAAGGCTAAGTCATGTTAAACGCTATTGT